TTAAAAAAGGAGGGGATTTTCCAGTTTTCAGACAATAACTCAAAAATGCTGTCAGCAATTCTCATGAAACTTTGGTGAATTGTTTATATCTATTAATATAAGCTCCCTTTACATTTTCATAAATTTCTAATATGACATTGAGAATTAATTGAACTTTATTTGTTTATAGTCTGACAACAGATTTACTAAGTATTGCGCAATGGCACAGTGTATTGCTCAACAGCAAGAAATCTTTAATTGAATATAAATTCAATTCATATAACCAATTTCAAGTTCTTTGACTACATTTATTCAAAAACCTATAATATGTCAAATATTTAATTACAATCCAAATTCAGACCAGTATCAAGCTTGAATATTGTGTCCATTTTTGCCCCAACTGTTCAGGGTTGGACCTCTGCGGGCGTATCCAGCTGCGCTCAGCGAAGCAGTTTATTATTGGTGGAGGAAGCCGGAGTGCCCGGAGAAAACCACCGACCTTCGATAGGAAAACTGACAATCCTAGTCAATTAAGATTGGATTCGAGTGCACCCGCAAGAGCGGGGTTCGAACTCAGTGTTGACTGGCTAGTGATTACAGTAGTAACCACTTAGAACACTCGGCCACCGAGGCCCCCCAATTCATATAGAAAAACCTATTAGGATAATACCAATATGGAACAAATATTTTATTTCCAATAAAAATTAGGTGTGGTTAGGTCTGTTTTTCTTATACATTTTATTCGTATAGCTACTCAATAATTTCTAAAATGTGTCAAATTGCGATTTTAAGCTATTTTGAAGCATTTATTCTTTGATCATGTGTTTGGAAATAAGCCATATTATTCTATTTTGGTATTATAATAGAATCATGTGCATAACAGTGTAGCCGAGACCATTGATTGGCGCGCTAAAATATCCCATTGACTGGGTCAGATTAGGTGAACGTTCGTCTGTAACGCCCAAAACTCACGACGTATTTATTATAGACATTTAAACTGTGAGGTCACCAAAGGGTCTCAATGCCTAAATAAAATAATTCGAAAAACTAATCAGGAATAACCTTTGTGTTTTGATTTATATTGAATACTTAAACGCTCTTTACTTGTGTTTTCGTTATGTTTTGATAATAAATTTTTATGATATCGCACGTTCTTTCAGCAAAAAAAAAAGGATTTAACTGGCTTTAAAAGTTACAATGCATGTGTTGATTATTATCTTTTTTTTCGGACGTCAAAGCGATTTAACAATTGCGGTTGTCCAATTATGTCATCTTTTAACTTTTATCTGGTCAAAATTTTATTTTAGAACGAATGCATGATCAACTTTAAAAAGTGTGCGTACACAAAACATATAGACAAAATATACTTCTGACCTGTCTTTTTCGTACTTGCAAGTTATTAGACAATAAAAAGGCTATTTGGATCAAGCCTTGTGGAATTTGCATTTAAGTTTTTGAATAGGTAAAATGTATAGTTTGGTGAACTTTTCTGCTAACTACTATACTTGTGAAAAACCCTTGGCAACAGAAACATTTTCAGCTTTTTTTTTAATCGACCCAATTTACATAGTAATGGACGACTTCGTACATTTTATGATCGCAAATAAAATATGTATATAATATACTGTGCACTGTAGTTCGTATATATACTGAAACCCTTTGGCAACCCCACAGTTTAAATGTTTATAATAAATACGTCGTGAGTTGTGGGCGTTACAGACGAACGTTCACCTAATCTGACCCAGTCAATGGGATATTTTAGCGCGCCAATCAATGGTCTCGCCTACACTGTTTTGCACATGATTCTAGTAGATTTTTCTACACGAATTGGATTTTCAGTAGGACAACCGAATATGTGCCCTTTTGGCCAAAATGTGATTCAGTGGTGCTCAGGAGACCTAAACGGATGATATCCATTTAACGAAAAGTGATATTCACCGTGCTAAACGTCACGTGCTTTTACATGTTAATTCCAGTAAAATGTTTGATGTACTGTACATGAAACCATCGGTTTTGGTGAAAAATTGTCATTATATGACGTGCTTCTTTCGCTGTGATAAAATTCTCGATATATCTATACTTAGCGCAGACTCAGAGATGTACATATTAATGGCTGTAACTATTTACCTCCCACGTAAATCCACATGTATCGTAACCTATGTTGAAACACTATGTGAATTTCGTTATGTTCAAATTGAAACTGAAAAAGAAACTACAGAACCGTTATTCCTATTCTAATGCATAACAAAATAAGATAAGCATAAGATCTTAAGTATAAAATCAAAATGAATAATATTCCGCGAAATTTCATGAATGATCTTAGCGCATTAACTTCATGTCATGTAGATTTACGTGGGAGGTAAATAGTAACAGCCATTGATATGTACATCTCTCAGTCTGTGCTAAGTATAATAGATATATCGAGAATTTTATCACGCTGTTGTTTACATCTTAAACATACGAACCAGGAGAAACTAAGTTGTCTATAAAGATAACTGCAGTAGATAGACATTTGGAACATAATTTTTGCGTGAACCCCTGAGGGTTCACGCATATATATTAGTTAGAAATATAGTTTATGGAGGAATATTCGGAAGCTAAATTGTTGTTCATTCGGAACACCTATTCATCTTATCTGTATTAGCTTCCTGCAATTAAGAGCACCTCCATACGGTGTATCTAAGATATTTAAAACATGGCAATAAAGAATTTTTACGGATCGCTAATTCACTTATCTGATATATGATAAAAAACAATCTAAAGATCCTTTTCAAACATGTATATTTATTGTAAAGCTACATTTTATGCATTGCAAGGGTTTACTGACTTGAGCAAAGTTGACAGTTGTACCCTTTATTAAACAAGTGAAAGTTAAATGGTCAAGATTTAATTATAACGACCTATGGTATCAAACTATTCACAGAGAGATATTTTAAAATAGTGCTGTGGTTTCTACATAATGAGTTATAGTGGGGTTTGGGATTTGATTTGTAACAATAAAATCATTATGCACACTTGTCATTTTGACAAATCAGATAAAAAAAATCTGTTTCAAATGAAAGAAAAAGCATTATAAAGGTAAATACTTCAAACAAGACGAGTACAGTTCAGTTTAAAGGTGATTGTCAAGATTTACAGATATTTTCTTTATAACTTTGTTATTACATATGAGATTCATCACAATACATGAAGTATACAATTATATACATTACGATAAGAAAAATAGCAAAAGGACTGATAACTTGCACTTGGTAATGATTATATAATAGCTTCTAATTACATGGAACTACACTGTTCCATAGAACCTATGTTTCGAACAGTTGCATGGAAGTGTAAAAAAAATGCAAGTAAGTTGATCGTATAAATTTAACAGCCAAAAATCAATTGTATGCATATAAGAGCAACATTAAACCTAGCCAGAAATGTATGCTTTTGGTTGAAAAATTATCTGTAAGTGTTCACATCTGTGTCCATTTGTCCTAAATGGATAGTTATTTCATTACAAAATATAAAATGTTTTCTGCTTTTTAATTCTTTTTAACAAATTGACTGTGTTTATTACACAAGATCGTGTTTTATGCATTGTTCATTGAGTTGCTATATGAAATCCACTAGGAAGTACAAGGGACGATAGAAGAATGTTACAATGCATGATTTCTATAGCAGCAGATATTGATATTGTATTCTTTGATATTGGTAGTAGAAGCTGCGATTTTGATTTATATTTTCACTCATACCTGTGTTTCAATTGTCCGTTATTTCAGTTTTAAAGTATTAAGATAAAAATAAGAAGATGCGATAGGATTAATAGCAACTAACTAAGGTTACCGTATGGCCTTCAATAGTGAGCAAAAACCATACCGATAGCAAGCTATAAAAGGTTCACCCTGTCAAATATAAAACATTCAAACGATAACCACTGAATTGCAGGCTCCTGACTTGGAGCATGCACATAGAAAATGTTGCGCGGTTGAACATGTTTGCAGGCGCTTCACCCTCCCCTGATCTGGGACAGTGGTGTAACACCTCAACATAAGAACAAACTATAAACATCAGTTGAAAAGGGTCATCAGATAAAAACAAAAGCACAAAAACAATGAGCAAAGTGACTTAAGATTCAAAGTACAGACCTGAGAGTACTTGCATGCAGCTACTTAAGGCTAGTTCAAAGCAAATAAAAACTATTAAAATGATCATGTTTTAAGACTACTTTATCAGTGTCAATTCAATGGGTATATTATTGAACTCACAACAGCTTGCTTCATCTTTTACACCCACTATTACGTTGTATTTATCATAGACATTTTAATGTATAGGGTCGCCAAAGGTTCTCAACGCCTAAAAATACTACAGGAGTAAACCTTGACAGTTGTGCTTTGATTAATACTAGATTATTTAACTTTCTTTACTGTTTTGATAAACAAATTATTTATGATATCACACGTTCTTTAAAAAATAAAATTAACTTTAGAAATAGTAATGCATGTGCTACAGCAATATTTTTTTTCGAACTTCAAAGCGATTTAACAATTGTGGTTTTCGAAAATATTTACTTCCTCTTATATAATTACTGGTGCCCAAAATAAAGTTGCAACTCCTAAGGGCAAAAATGATCCTGTACGATTTTGGTTGATCCGTTTATGCATTCTGTGTATCATAATCTCAATAATAAGTGATATATATACATTTTTCGTTCTGAGCCTTTGCTTGGTTTTTTTTGTCCACTAGAGAAAGACTTGAGGGTAAAAAGGATTTTTTTTATAAACATTAGTTTTTGTATCTTTTTCTCCAAAATTGTACTTTACAGTTTTATGTCATCGGCAGGAGAAAACTTGCATTTCTGTTAATTTACACTATTTACCATATAACATTTCTAATATTACTATATATAAATGACATCAAAGACTTTGAACAGTTAAAGCAGGTAAAATAATTAGGATATTCCATTTTAGAACATTTGTTAAAATGCTCTCACATGTAAAATATCATTATAATAGATGATTGGCCATTTTCACTTACAGGTATACGTTGAGTTTATGATGGACAGTGACACGGAACGACATTAGATTAACATAAGATTTTACGATATCTATACATATATCATTACGACGATGGAGAGAATTCCTTTTGTCAATACAGCCATAGTTTGTTATCTTTTACATACGTACCACGTGTCTGCAAGCTATAATGGTCAAGATGAGGATTTCCGGACAACAAACCATTCAAAATCTCATGATTCAAACATTTTCATAGACAACCTTTTTAACAAGTATGGAAATAAAACAGTAATGACATTTGAAGGCTTTGAACATTTAATGAATGGAATAGAATTAGGAAATATCATTTTAGAGGATTCTGTTAACGCCCATCGCATACTAGGAAGCAACGAAACCGAATTTAAGTCTTTACACCATCACAACCACAGCCATGTTGTGGATGTAAACCATCAGCTGCCAATACATAAACGAAAACGACGCCATGTGCACTATGAAAGTGAAAGACCTTCGGTCACTGAATCATCTGACATCTTGAAAATGGTTTGTACGTTGTTATAACTCTTTTTTTCTAAACAACATTTTGTATTTAAGGGCTTTCCAGTGCGTACTAGATGAAGGTAATTTCAGAACATGTTTGTGCAAATGGAAATCAAGTCCTTCTATCATACGTTGTTTAGTAATAATTTATTGGTATACACTCTATGAGTGCATTAAAAAGATTGACGGGATCTATGTAGAGTGTGATATGAATTCTCATTTCCAAATTAATTAAAATTAAGGTTATCTAAAACGCCCGTAAATTACATCATAATTATGTATATAATTTTTATATTCACTAATGCTCAATGGTAAAAAAAAAATAAAGATAACCTTCATCCTAAAATCGTGAAAGAATGATTTGCATTTAAAGTCTGGATATTGTCTCTTTATTGTTCAGCTCTGACAGGTTTGTATAGTGACGGACAAATAGAAATGGCGACAAACAAATATCTGAGCATTCTACGGATAATTAATGAAACTTACATAATGTTCATTTAAAGAAAAACGAGTTTTAAAGATAGCATTGGGATTAATCAAATTGTGAAATTGGTTTATACAATATGTTAAATATTAAAGGTATAAAAGGAATAAAAAGATGTGTGCTATACGCAAGTTTAACCAACAAACAAAAGCGAACACAACATATAACAGATGACTATCATCCAATTTGAGAGCAAGTTATTTTTTTCATCAGTTTCAGTTGTGACCAAAGCTTAATTTCACCACAGTTGAAACTTAAAATGACTAATAATGTTATTCAGCGCTGAACAATAACGTTCACGGCAATTTTGACAGTACTTTAGTATTGGCATGACTAAGGCGATATATTAGAACTGTTAACATTTCCAGTATATTAAGTAATTCATTGAGTTAAAAAGTTTGCAACTACCGTAAAATAGCTGACCTTAGTCGATTTTTGTAGTTTTATGTAGTCCTCTTTGGTTTTGTAACCTTTCGGAAGTTTATGTAACTTTGAGTTATGAGTGTATGCACTGATAGAAGTTCATCCAGAATCGTGTTGAAGAACGAAAATATAGTCATTATTTTGAGTAATTGTTTCTGTTTGCTTTTGTTTTGGTAAAATTTGTATCTAAAAGACAATATGTTAGTTTTTTTTGCAATAGTAAATTTTGCAATTTATTTTTTGCAAAGAATGCCCTTAATTTGTTGTTTTGAAAATTACTGGAAATATATAAAAATTGCAGTTTTTAGAGTATCTCATTAAAGAAAGTCTTTATTTTGTTAGAACCTCAAAGTACGCATATTACGCTGTGATGAATTAGATTAAAGTAAAAGTTGAATGACATTTGAAATGGCCCTAATATGAAATAAATTCAGTCATTTGGTCCAAACATCGCAAATCAAGCTCCAATGTTCCAAATCCCCTTTTTTACCATCAACGAGAAAAATACAACAAAGCTCACTAAGGCCTTTTCGACCTTGACTCGATCGCGTGAGACCGAATTGGTTATCAGGGTCGTAAAAACACCTATAATAGAAAAACAAATGATATGGGGTATCCATTCATGACTCAAAATCGGAACATATGTCAAACATTATTTTGGTACTTAATTTTCTATTTCAAACTGTCTTATTATATCGATTTCTATTGTGTACATTTCGTATGCAGCATGCATATTTTATTTATTCAATTGTAACGATCTCGAAATTCGCAATGACTTTAAATGTCCGAAATATTTGTTAATATTTGAAACATGTAAGATTATAAATTTATATTTGTCAATAACCTTTTAAACTCTAAGTTTATGCAAACATCTTACAAGTTCGTTATGCAACTTTTATTTGGTCATATCAAATACACACATAATTCAATTGATTGATGGATTGATCACCTATCCTAATTATCTTTGATGAATTAAATCACTTAATTATATAATTTCTGTTTACAACATGACCCCAACAAACTGTGTTGTTATAGCAACTTTATTTGGTATTTAAAGAAAGATAAATTTATAATCAGGGACTCCGTTTGGATATGCCAACGAGAGCACATAAACTGCGTTCTGATTTTCCATCGCAATCATATATATTGTTTTTGGCTTAAAATAACTAATTTGTAACACTGATATTTTATATTTGGACTTTATTAAATGAATTTGGACTTTACCAATTTGTTTATGTTTATTCTATTGAACTGCCGACTTGTGTGTGAATAAAGAGCTAGTACCCGCATTGTGAATCGTTCCCATAGACGGAATCCCACTCAAAGCCATTCCGGCAATATTTATTAGGGGAAGTGATAAATAGTTTTTCATACATACACAGCAAAAAAACACAAAAAAGCATTGAAACAGCGCTTATATTGCTGTTCTTCATCTCAAAGTCACAATGAGGCCTCTCTCTCTCTTAAAATTATGCAAGACCGCTTGGATTTAACTTAATAATCATGCAGAGATTGAAAACCATAAATATAAAGCTTTATACGTCAAAAATCAAATTCATTTGATAAAATTAAGGCACTGGCTACGGTTACATTGAAATGTAACAATAATAAAAAAGTTATTATTACATTGGAGACTAATTGCCGGAATGCAGTGTTGGGTAAGGAACCGATAATAATAATATTTGTGTCTACGGCTACGTTGTGTTATTGTTACGTTAATGCACTTCAATGTATGCTGGGACTTGTAATATGTTTTAAAATAAAACTTGAAAACTTTTATTTGAATATTACAATATTGCATACAATTTTTAAAATTTTATTTACAATGGCAGTTTTTACACATCCAGTATGTTGTTTTTAGGAGCATGTTTCAGACCGACGCATTTTTGGTGAAACCACTCTAGGCAGCCATCATAAACGAGTGATGCACCAATGTGCATGTCGGTTTTGCAGACTTTACATTTCCACTCTACAATATCAGTGTTTGAACTAGAACTGCGTTTGTATAACTGTATACAATTTGAGTCTTGATATTGTTTGAGTTTCGATTCAAACGCATCCTAAGTTTTAAATTTTTCACCCAAAACAAATTTTGTAATAGGAATCACTTCATCCATTGTTCAAAGCATATTGACAGTAATAAAGGTAGGTGTGCAGTTAAATACATAGAAGTGAACACTTTTCTTCTTAACATCGATCTATAGAACTATATTTTTTGGGCACTACTAAACTGTAGTAGTATCTTGAAGAACATTAAAACAATTTATACTTAAAAACTATTTAAAAACACTATGTCACGGTTGAATAATAATGATAATAATAATGATAATAATAATAATAATAATAATAATATCATTATTATTATTATTATTATCAAGTACATATCGAAGAATTAAGCAAGGAATTGTATATTTATACAATTCCTTGAATGTAACAATAACTTTTTTGTTATTATTACATTTTAATGTAACCGTAGCCAGTGCCTAAAATTAAACAGAAACTAGACACCAAATGTTTAAAGCCGGTATACTCTAGCAAATCAAAACAATTATATAACATTGTCATTTACTTTGTCGCTGAATGAAACTGAACCCGTGTCAAGACGAACAACACTGTCTATCTAATACTGAAAAGGTATAAGCTCCTTATTCTAAATGAAAAATTAATATGTTTATTTTTATAAAGAAGAATGAAATACTTATACATGTGTAACCAAAATCCTTCTTTCTGTAAACACTTATTTATTTTTTTAAGCTAAACATGAATATATTAATCCATTTTATATCATTATATTAAGATTGACATTTTAAATTATGTTGCGATGAAGTTGTCAAGGAGGGTAAACGTGAAATATAAGATGCGGTTATTATTCGAATGGAAAAGGCGTTGATGCAGATTTGAATGAAAGAACTTATCTAATGTATGATCATTCTGACAGAACTTTTTTCAAAGACCAAAATGTAGGTAGACACCTGTCTAACCATCATGACATGTGGTCGTCTCTGCAGACAAAGCACCAAACAATATGCCTGATGTAAACCGAAATAACTGTTTTATGTTTTTTATACACATCAAAATCATCAAAAACATTCAATCCCCCCAAATTGCACCGACTGTAAGCTGAGTCAGTCAAATTATCAATGTGGCATAAACCGGAAACTGCAAAAAAAAAATACGTTTTTGAAAGAATAACTTGTTTTGCTTTAGGTAAGAAAGAGTTTTTTTTTGCAGTGTGATTCATTTGAAATTGATTGTTGTTTATTTTTATAGTGTCTGAGTCCAGTTCAAATTTTAGATTTCTATGATATACACGAAGATGAAGTGATCACGAGGAGAGATTTCGAACAGCTATGCCCGGCGCTAATAGTTCAGTTAGATCAAAGACGATGCCTTAAAATGGGTGTTTTGATTCGTTACCGGGACTTTGCAACACCCGAAACATTAGGAACCAAAGGTAAGATGCTGTCATTATAAGTTGAAAGGAAAGTTGAAATATTTACTTGATTTAAGATGAATCCGTCAATGTTGAATACTTTAATAATCTTAGATATAATATGTGTTTTCTAAAGCTTGTTTCCTGCTCCAATTGTGTTTTTCAAGTGAACAGAAACTTATTTATTATTTCTTTCCTACTCCGCAAAATCAGTTACGATTGTTACTTTATATACTACACTATTATATATGTATATATATATATATATAAACATTTATTATATGTGCACTTTTTTGTAATATTCTGACGGATTCGTTTGTTTTGTTTTGTATTTACATTTTTCATTTTCTGTTTAAGTTTAAAGAATATTGCCTATGCTATCCTCAAGAATATTAGTTACATAGTGTGCTAGTGACCTAATACGAAATATATGGGGTCAGTATATTCCATATGGGATGAGTGCGAAGCTCGAATCCCCATATTGAATTTACTGACCCCATATACATTGTATATCGTATTAGGTACTAGTATTGTATTAGGTCACCAGCACACTGTGTAACGAATTTATCTTACCGACCATCTTAACATGTGGTATTTAGACTAGTGGCCTATCAAAGTGATGAAGTCTTCAATACTAGTATTAAGAACCTACTTCCATTGGTCTATTCAAAAACAAATGCCAACAATAACAACTTGTTAGCTTTAAATGTGTTTTAAATTTATTTCAATCGTTCAACATAAATTTCTTCGTCTGTTGAAACCTTTCAGATTTTTCCTCAACACTTTTGTTTTTACAAAGGGACATAACACCTCTACTAACTGTGCATTGAAATAAACCCTGCCTACTAATCCCATATGAAATATACACGGTCTCCACGCGGTTGCTTTGAACCAATCATATTCTTAGAAGTGCATAGGAGGTAAGATAATAAAGAATATTGCCTATTTTATCATTAAGTATAAAAAATATTGTCCAGACGAAACTTTTCAGATTATTCTTCAACACCGTGTTGTTTTTATAACTACTAACCATGTATTAAAATAAACCACGCATTATGCATACTAACCCCATATGAACTATACACGGTCGCTTTTAACCAATCATATTCCTAGAAATGTATAGCAGGTAAGATAATTGCCTTTTTTATCCTTATATTAGGTATAAAGAATATTGTCCATGTTATCCTTAAGTATGAAGAATATTGCCTATGTTATCCTTAAATATAGAATATTGTCTCTTTTATCCTTGGGTATAAATAATATTGCCTTTGGTATCCATAAGTAAAAAGAATATTGCGTATGTTATCCTTTAGTGTAAAGAATTTTGACAATGTTATACTTAAGTATAAAGAATATTGCCTACATTATAGATACATTATTTGTCATTACAAAAAGGTAAGCTGATATCTATGGAATAATTGTAGCTACCAACTTTATAGATCTTCATCGCTTGTCAGTAGTATTCCTTAGTTTAAATGGCATCTCGCATTTTTTTTCAATTTTGTTTATTTTTATTTATCTATTCTTTTATTTTGTTAGTTCATATTTTTAGCTCACCTGGCCCCAAGGGCCAAGTGAGCTTTTCTCATCACTTGGCGTCCGTCGTCCGTCGTCGTCGTCGTCGTCGTCGTCGTCGTCCGTCGTCGTTAACTTTTACAAAGATCTTCTCCTCTGAAACTACTTGGCCAAATTAAACCAAACTTGGCCACAATCATCATTGGGGTATCTAGTTTAAAAAATGTGTCCGGTGACCCGGCGAACCAACCAAGATGGCCGCCATGGCTAAAAATAGAACATATGGGTAAAATGTAGATTTTGGCTTATATCTCTGAAACCAAAGCATTTAGAGCAAATATGACATGGGGATAAAATTGTTTATCAGGTCAAGATCTATCTGCCCTGAAATTTTCAGATGAATCTGACAACCCGTTGTTGGGTTGCTGCCCCTGAATTGGTAATTTTAAGGAAATGTTGCCGTTTTTGGTTATTATCTTGAATATTATTATAGATAGAGATAAACTGTAAACAGCAATAATGGTCAGCAAAGTAAGATCTACAATTAAGTCAACTTGACCCCTTAAGGAGTTATTGCCCTTTATAGTCAATTTTTAACCATTTTTCGTAAATTTTTGTAATCTTTTACAAAAATCTTCTCCTCTGAAACTACTAAGACAAATTTAACCAACTTGTCCACAATCATCATTAGGGTATCTAGTTTAAAAAATTTGTCCGATGACCCCGCCCGCGAACCAAGATGGCCGACATGGCTAAAAATAGAACATAGGGGTAAAATGTAGATTTTGGCTTATATCTCTGAAACCAAAGCATTTAGAGTAAATCTGACAAGGGTAAAACTGATTATCAGGTCAATATCTATCTGCCCTGAAATTTTCAGACCAATCAGGCAACACGTTGTTGGGTTGAATTGGTAATTTTAAGAAAATTTTGCAGCTTTTGGTTATTATCTTGAATATTATTATAGATAGAGATAAACTGTAAACAGCAATAATGTACAGCAAAGTAAGATCTACAAATAAGTCAACATGACCAAAATTGTCAATTGACCCCTTAAGGAGTTATTGCCCTTTATAATCAATTTTTTACAATTTTTTCATAAATTTTGTAAATTTTTGTAAATTTTTACAAAATATTTTCCACTGTAACTACTGGGCCAAGTTCATTATAGATAGATATAATTGTAAGCAGCAAGAATGTTCAGTAAAGTAAGATCTACAAACACATCACCATCACCAAAACACAATTTTGTCATGAATCCATCTTTGTCCTTTGTTTAATATGCACATATACCAAGGTGAGCGACACAGGCTCTTTAGAGCCTCTAGTTTCTTTTGCTTAAACACTTGCTTAAAACTTGTAACTAACTGTAAAGACATGCAGTTAGTCTGCTGTCAGTAGAACCTTATTACTAAGTACCTTAGTACTGAATTATAATAAAAAAAATCGATTGAGTTAAAAGAATGAAAGAACAAGCCAATGACTAATATTTCGTACAAGAGTATAAGTACTGTGAAGTTTTTCTAAATTCCTTAGGATTTAAAAATGGCAAAAATATCGATTAATATTCTAAAAATGTTGTTAGAAATATAAAAACATTTCTTATTTATAAATATTTATGCGAAAATATTAAATGATTCTTAGTTAATATTTACCATAGAATTACATTTGTATTTTAAGCATGGGGATATGGCTTTGTTTGTCTGATCATCATAAGTATTAGTGGTTTGCTGGTGATATCGTTGGTTCCTTTATTGCAACGCATATCATTTGATGGAATTCTACAGTTCATGATATCGCTTGCAGTTGGTGCTCTGACTGGAGATGCTATGCTTCATCTTCTACCACATGTGAGTTTTATCTTGTTATATAGTAGATTACAGACTACTGTAAATCAACTTATTCTAAGAGACTATTATGAAGATTGTGGAGGTATCAAATGTTTAAGCCATGTTCGAGAACCTGAAATCATATTATAAATAGTCATTTGAGGACTCGTACATATACTTGACACTTTAAACATGTTTAATCACTGCACCTATTGCCATAAATGTGTATGAAAAGTATTGTTTGATTTCTACTGAGACTACAAAATGTAAAATAAAATGAGAAAAAAATTTATTCAAGATATTTGGAACATGGTTTCTCCTAACTTGGCTAAGTACTCGGCCATTAATGCTATTGGCAAATACATATAAAACAAAATTGATATGATTTTCTAACAATTTATATTCCCCAGGTCTTTTTTTTTTAAATCCAAACCATGAAATAATTGGATAGTTTTCTGTGGGTAAGTCATTCAATAAAACTGTTTACATAAACATGTTGGATGCATTTACACTTTAACTGCTGGAAAACAAACACGGTATTATTTTTATTTTATTAGTAAAACTTAAAAGAATATAGACTATTTTGAAATAATAAAACCATTAATTTTCCAATTGATAATATTAATTTTATGTCTGTTTTGGAAATAAAGTATAACAACCATTTTAAAAGTCCAAATACAATAAAATACAATAAAACCATTAAGTGTGTATGTAAACATAACTTTTTATTATATATAACCATTGGTTCAATCTTTTATCCTGTTGTTATTCAAGATTACAGGTTTATAATTTGGTACGCCAGACGGGCGTTTCGTTTTCAAGATTCGTCAGTGGTGCCCGAATCAAAGCAGCATGAATGTCAACTCGTATACAAAATTGAGGACCAACAATTTCGAAAAGTTGTGGCAAATACGGCTTAGGCAATCTAAGCCTGTGAGTAGAAAAACCGCAGTACAGTAGATTTACAGAAAATTAACATATGAATGCTATTTTGAGTCAACACAAAAGTTCTGATTACTGGACTGGTGATACCCCTGGGTATCATGCGTCCACCAGCAGTTGCATCGACCCAGTATTTGTAAAAACTCGTTAAAAGTACATGTACCAGGCATATAATTGTGTACCCCAAACGCGCGTTTCGTCTTCATAAGACTCGTCAGTGACGCTCGAATCAAAGCGTTTGGAAGGCAAATCAAAAACGAAGTTGAAGACCAAAATTCCGAAAAGTTGTGTCAAATACGGCTACGGCAAAATCCATGCCATAGGGTTTCGAATAATTCGATAATTTATAAACAGTAAATTTACAGAAAATTAACATGGCATGGATATTTTATGTCAACACAAACATGTTGGCTAATGGACTGTTGACATGGGTTAAAATGACCAACACTTTCCCACAATCATAAACTGTTTTCGTCGAAGAACATGATAATTTTTTGACGACTATTTTTCACCGTGATATTCATTACTGAGTACATCTAAAATGTGGACGTGACAGAGAGCATTTTTTTCAAATATCGTTGCATTGTGCTTGAGTACATTATTTTGCTAAATTCTTTTTAACAGCGTTTTAAAATATGTTGAATCGAATATCGAATATAGGTACATATATGAATATTAACCTCAGTGCAGAAAGAGTTGATGGACTGTAAAACGTGAAAATATTTTTTTAATTGCTGATGGTCGCATAAAATAAAGAATTATATTGTATCAAACTTCTTAAGTCATTTCATATCGTTTTGACACACTAAACGAATCGGAAATTGTACTTTTAGACAACGGTATTCCTTGTTTAGAATGTTAACTGAGGTCCGAAGCTAGGTTAAATCTGAATGATTTTACAAAGCTAAGAATTTGACAAAGAATTACTTTTCAGAAATAGAGGTAGGGCTAGTTTAACATGTATTTGTTTTTTTTACGCGTAGGATCAAAATAGGAAGGATGTTGAAACTTGCTGAAATTCGAATATCACATTCATACAATTTTTTCATTAATTTCACATACAATGAAAATCTAAAAAAAAATGTTATTCATGACATCACACTACATTTGAAGGCAATTTTGAATCAATATGCAAATTTTATATGTTTTTTTTATAAGATATTATATCGAAGGACTTAAAATTAATTAATTTGTATCCGAAAGACAACACATAGCTTTACTTCTAATATAATATCGGTGTTGGGTAAGAATTTCCTAATAATTGTTTTGATTATTCTTTTTAAAAATCCTCAATTTCGTCTTTGTATCTATGAAAATATTTGGTAAAAGTTTTTTTTTAAGTAAGTCTATTAACCATGACTTAGTTTAAAATATGTAAAGCAAAAGCGGGTTAACTGGGGACAAAACTGTTGTGATATGATAAATAGCGATAAATTGAAACACTCAACTTTTATATTTATGACTTAAAATTCTTTAAAAAGTGTTTATATTTCATATACTAGACAGCAAGTGAAAGCTTAGGCTCCTTTATGCAACTGGGGACAGGGGGCACTTGAGGTCATGTGTTGTGATTTAATTTTATGTAAATGCCATATGATGTTGTTTAAATTGTAATTTGTATATGTATATATATTATGGGTGTAATTTGAGCTTAACAAAGTATCGTAGCGATAACTCGCCAATTACATTGTTTGTTCAGCATTTAAAGGGTCATCGAATTCATCCAAGTATAGTTGTGCTGTATGTAAAAGCATCGGAAAGTATTTTTAGCATGATGACGCTTGATTTTAACCTTTTAAAATTCTTTCCCATTGGCAATAACAAAATCTCACTAGACAATTTCTGATGAAATTTTGTTTCATAGTTTCAGTTTCAGATTTAAAAATTATGTAAATGACTATATTTTTTTATTTCGAAAATCAACATTGTAAGCGCTCTTAACGTGCAGTTCTTTTTAGAGTATAATAATTCAATTTGATTCTAAGGTAACAAGATCTCCGACGAGGCTTATTGAATATCGTTGAAAGAGTGACGCTCCTTTGAAATGTTTCTAATATGGAAAATCAACATTGTAAGCACTCTCACACCAAATTTTCGATGGAGTAAAATCAAATCTATGTCAAAGATTAAAATCACCAATATCTTGATCTAGTTTGAAAATCAGCGCGGGGTAATATTTTGTGGAAGAGTTATACATCTTTGAAATATAAATTATTTGGAAAATCAATATTGTAAGATCTCTCATAAAAGTATTATTTTAGGGTCACTTGGAAATGTAAATAATTTGAAAACTAAAAACTGTGAATTCTCTGGCATCTGCAGTTTTCAATTGATTTTAATGAAAGTTATGTCAAAGGATTTTCAGCACTATATCTGATGAGTTTGAAAATTAGGGTTGATTGAATATTTTTGGGGAGTTATGCCCCTTTTGATTGTAAATAGTAAATGAAATCAACCTTTGAAGAGCTTTCAAACATACATTTCTCACTAGAGTAAAATTTATGACGATGGTGAACATCAGCAATATCTCGGACGAGGTCGAAAATTAGAGTTGAGCGAGTTGAGTTGATAGGAGGGAATATGTTCTTTAAAATGTAACTAACATTGAAAATCAACATTTGAAACTCTGTCGTACCTACATTTTTCTTTGGGGTTTGATGAAGTTTATATGAAAGATGTATTTGAAAATCATTACGGATCGATCGTTTTTAAGGGAGTTTTGCCCTTGGGAATCTAAGTAATGTATTAAATGCCAGTATATGACCGATAGGGGGACATTGGCTACTATATAGCAATTTTGGTCATAGGATAACGTTAATGGGAATGAGACTGAATGATAATGAATTTTGGTTATGTATTATTATTGAATCAATGCATCATGTAATTTATTTCCAGGCACTTGTTCCAGAAGTGGAAACGGATCATGAGCATGATCACGAATCAGGATCTCACAATCACGAAAACATCTACAAAGCACTGTGTGGTTTATCAACAATATATTTCTTCTTCCTAATTAGTCGGATTCAGACAATATTTGCGAACAGCAGAATGAAGGTACAGTCAGGTGAACAGTATATGTCCATAAATTGATAGCAATGTACTTTTGAGAAGGAAGAAATAAGCTTTAAATATTTCGAAGGAGCAATCTGAATATCAATTATATTTAACCGTCCCATCTCACAGATGGTCCCTAAAATAAACTCATTTTTTAAGCCAGATCCCGATCATGTGATTAAACTGATATTATTTGACACCATTCACGTGTCCGTTGGATACACAATCTAGTACATAATGGTTCTAGGTCTGTTCCACCAAACCTGCTTGTAAAATTTTAACAGTCAGTTTGCTATGTGTAACGATGGTTAAATACAAAGCTTTAAGACACCGGCTTAATTTGATTTAACCAAATGCGCTTTTCGAAGATTAGTTGGCATTTCTAGTCCAAGTTTCTAGAAACCAAACATCGGAAATACAAAAATTTCAAAACTTTGACTGATTGCTGTTTTATTCAATCATACCAACATATCTACCCATTTATACTTGTAACGCAAAACATTCCACATAAACATGATATAACGGAGAAAACGACAAGCAAAGAAGTAAAGTATAGAAAATATAACTTCTGTCAATACCATTGTACATTTTTAAAGTATCACCATTAAAGTCGCATTATTCAAGTGAAATGCACTGGTTACAGGTTAGTGATACCCTTGAGGGCAACCTTGCTTAATCACGAACTGGATATGTGTTTGGTGGTAATAAGCATTGTGTATAAGTTTCATTACATTTGGTTGTGGCAAAGTAAAATTAGAGTGCGGAAACTGCAAATTTGTCAAATTTTACAGCTAAAAAATGACACATTCTAATTATTAAGCGGTAGTATCAATCCGACAGTTACTTTCCCTAGCATAACAGTAATGATACGCACATTTATATCCTGTTTTTATGAATTATGCCTTGCTAATTCATTATAATTTTAGTTTACAATGTTCAGCTGTGACTTTTATTTCTTATTCATCACATAGATGGAAATTGTACTTGTTTTATGTAACGAAACCGCCTCAGTACACATGGTAACGCATCGAATGTGGGAGTTTGTGGTCATGCTTTCCCCAGCCGTGTCAAGCAAAAAACTTTAAAATTAGTATTTTGTTAAGTTACCAACCACTTGTCTTTAAGTAGTAAGAGTTAAGACAGATCGTTTTGTACTCAGAATAATATTGTGTCCGGTTAGCGCGAAATGTCTTCTTGTAGACTGTTTACTAGTTTAACATGCCTGTTAAAATGTTGCTCAGCTGATCATGCTGATCTCTGTCTAGTAAAAGTGTTAACATGAATCGTGCTGAATATATATTTAAAAAAGAAGATTTGGTATGATTTCCAATTAGACAAATACCAACCAGAGTTCAAATGAAGTGGATGTAAGAAATTATAGGAATTCGTACGGCCTTCAACAATGAGGAAAAGCCATACTGTATAGTTGGCTATAAAAGGCCCCGGCATGAAAAATGTGAAACAATTCAGACGAGAAAACTAACGGCCTAATTTATAACAAAATAGTTCACGATAAACAAATATGACAGACTTAAAATAATTTTATAATAACTACTTGATCATAAACAGCAATCTAGTCGTATAGGCAAATTGACTAGGGCTTAAGAATACAATATAATACTATAGTATTACTACTTATCTTATTGGCGTCTATGATACCGGGACAGTCATATGATAACTTTAATGAATATCTGAATTTAGTCTGATTCATCTGTTTTTCCTTTGTTTTAGGAAAACAACAATAAACTTGTCAAAATTCCAGAACAAAACGAAAAGTTAAACACAGAAGGTATGCAAATACAGATATTTGACAATATAATATTAGAGTAGGACTCAATTCGTGTATTACATAACTTTATGTTTGACAAATACAAATAAATAGTAAATTGGAATTAGCTACATAAAACATATTTACTTTTTCAAAATGTTGTACAATATATCAATTACGCAAAATTTGCATTGCAAGTAAACAATTTTAGATTATAAAATTTGCGTAACTGTATGTATGACAAATACTAAATAAATAATGAAATGTGATAAACTACATGAAATATCAGATATCTACTTTTGAAAAATATGGTACATCATATATACACATTTTCATTGTAGGTATCGAAATTTTAGATTTTGAACAGGAATTTGATGTACAGATACATCATAATCACGGACATACACATACTCACGTTGTACCAATTTCTGTTTCTGGAATGTTATGGCGTATAATTATCGGTGATGGCATTCACAATTTCAGTGACGGCTTAGCGATCGGAGTTGCTTTTGCAAACAGTATAACTGGAGGCGTAAGCACGTCAATTGCTGTACTATGTCACGAGTTGCCTCACGAAATGGGTAAATAAAAAAATATTATTCGTACTATCCATGAGAAACACGACGGGTGCCATTAGTGGAGCATGATCTGCTTACACTTCCGGAGCTTCTGAGAGCAGCTCCAAAGTGTTTAGTTGGGTTCGTGTTTTTAGTTTTTAGTTTTCTATGTCGTGTTTTGTGAACCTGGTTGTATTTTGTCTCCTTTCGGTTTTTTTTTGCCATGGCGTTTCCAATTTCTCAGTGAGAATTGGATCCAGATTTAACTTTCCTACCGTTTGCGGTTTCGTGTAATTGCTCCTCGGTATTCGGACCCCTCCGCGGATTTCGGATACCCAGTGTGTTACTCTCGACATATGAATTTTGAGTATTTACCTCCCGTTTTAAACATATAAATATCAGCTTGGAATGAAGAAGAGATGTTGCTTTATTAACTATAATAATATTTTCGGTATTTACATTGTTATTAGTGCTGTCAAATTGAAGTTTTGCCAAACCGGTTAATCGGATAATCTTTCGACCGATTAACCGGTTAACCGGTAATTAAGTTGATGTTTAAAGGCTTTATTTACAGTACACTAAAGATGCAGGCTTCATGACACGATGAATTGAAGTTTATTCTTGGGCATTATAAGTCTTGGCTTTGAGAATTCCTGGTGAAGTTTTTATTTTGGTAATCCAATACAGCCATATCTACAATGCCGTTTGTAATAATTTCAGTCAGATTGAGAAGATGAAAATCTTCTTGATCTCGGCGAACTGATAAAGTATGAAAATTCTGTGGGGTGTTTCAAATTGAGACGACGATTAAGCGTGTTACTCGTACTACACAGTATATGTTAATTCCATTCACATATGTTGCATTTCACAATTTTTGAGTTGGGATTCCAAAGACTTGGTCGATGGAGGTGGCATATTTACGCAATATTAAATCAAAAGTGAAATAATGAAGTAAATAGTAAAATTCAATTAGCTTATAATTGTTCAAAATACATGTATGGTAAAATAAATAAAACAGACTTATCATGCTCGAAATCCCTCTTCCACATCCTCGTTGTTGGGCAGGGGACTTGGACTAATGAATGGGTTACTTGCACTTGTATATAGTTAAATCCTGAAAGTATTATATTGTCATATACTTCCATGGTTAAATAAATATACCTGTAAAAAAAGGCGCGCAAATGTAATCAAAATCTAATTATAGCGCAAATGGAATGGTAATGCGCGCAGACGTAATGCACCGATGATAATTATGTTTACTTTAGATTTTGCCCCAAGCTGATAGACAAGTTGTCTTGGTGCTAATGAAATTTGTAAAATTAAAATGTTTTCAAGATAATTGAATAGCAATCAATATACAGGACAATTGATCTGCCAAATTAAGTACATGATGTAGCAATACAATCATTTAAAAATTCAAACGAAATTCAAATTTAATGACTGCAATACACATTTAAATATCGAATCTATTAGAATTGAAAAAAGGTCCAGTTAACCAGATATCGTTTTTTTGGTATTCGATATTCGATCTTTCCGACGGTTAGCCGGTTAATCGGTTAACCGTTGACAACACTAATTGTTATGTTATGTTTTCTTCTGTTTTATCTTTTAATATCCTTTAATTCTGATATAATACACATATGTTAATTGTATAATAAAAATCTTTTTTCACATAAGTCTAAATTGTTTATTTAAATTAATTTGTCAGTATAATTGTTATATATATAAATAGGAGATTTAAGGAATTTTCTTGTTAGGAAGTACATATTCAGTTGAATTAAATTTACCAGTTATTTCTCGTTATCGTGGTTTTAAAATCATGTTATTACTTCAGGAGATTTCGCTATGCTGTTGAAGAAGGGAATGAGTGTAAAACGAGCAGTTTTGTTTAACTGTTTATCATCACTATTAAGTTGCATTGGTATGGTGATAGGCATAGCAGTGGGAAACATTAGTGCTGTCAGCCTCTGGATTTTTGTCGCGATTGCTGGGATGTTCATTTATATATCCCTTGTTGATATGGTATATATCTTTAACATTTACATAAACAACATATTGCTGTAATTTTGATATAAATTTGATATAAATTGTACACTAAGAAAATTGACACCAGCATTACTGGATCTGTGTTAAACAAACATTGTCAAATTATCCCTTTTATGACTATGCTCATGACCGATGTATTAAATTGCCATTATTGCATACCACACATGCTAGTAATTATTGTACACATCCTTATAAGAAATATAGGGTATTATAAAAATATATCTGCAGTAATGGTTAGTAACAATCATATAGTCAACAGATTAACAAGCAAAAGTCCATATTACTATTCCGAACACTTTCAACATCTTTAACTTTTAAAGAAAACATGATGGGTAAAATCTACTTATGTTATAGTGCAACTCTATTCTAAGAGATGAAACTCTATCAACTGATTTAATTAATTTAATCTTTAAATGTTTTTCTTTTCGCTATGACTGAAGTTTGCACTATCCATAAAGCCTCTTGAACTCGTTGTATGTCGTGTCTCTCGTTCCTAATTGTAAAGTCCACACGAGTGACCCTTATGATATGTTTATTTTACCATATTTTACCATTGAATATTGAATATTGCTCCTGCTCCTATACACAAAATGATCTCACCATGTACATGTAAAGCTGAAACACCTAGGGTACAAGATCAATCCAATTAGATTTTTTTTGTTACTTGTTTCAATAGTATCCAAAATTTAATCAAGAGTAGATGTCGATTGAATAACTAATAATGTAAACGGATTTATTTTTTTCTTAGCTTCCTGAACTTACATCAGTACCAGACGGGGAGGAGCATTCGTGGAGACGATTGTTTGTTCAGATATGTGGATTAGGTGTTGGAACAGGAATAATGCTGACCATTGCAATATACGAAGAAAAAATCAAAACTATGCTAGAATAATTGGAGTTCAACGAAATATTGGTTATAACAGACACATATGATATAAACATGTGCATAATAAACCTTGGAATAGCATATGCTGGTGCTGTAGGTTTTATAATAAATAATATGCGGAGTTGTTCATAAAGGTATTTTTTCTTCACAGCTGACATGTAAGAAAAGTTCAAAAGCATAAAACTAAACAAAAAACACTTGGGTACTCAGTGGTGCTGTCAGTAGTTAGACAGACAAACAGTTAGTTTAGACTGTAATAAATCTTGCCAATTGGATTGAGTATGCAACCTGCCGTTTCATCTTATACAGTGCTAGAAGTGTACCAATGCCATTATGTTGAAAGATTATTTAAAAATCAAGAAAACAGAATGAGACTTGGACGACGAATTGCAAATTCTTTAAACTTAGTTGTACGAGATACCTCATTTGTTATTCATGAATGATGCCAAAACACTGGAAATCAAATGACAAACCAATATGTTGGTTCTAAAAGAAGTTTCTTTGAAATTATCTCCATACCCTTTTAATGAAAATTAATCTTTAAAACAAGATTATGTGTCCATAGGACACCATGCCCCGCTCGCATTATCATGTGTCCATCGGTTCATTGAACGTGAAATCGGGATCAAAATCGTAATTTGGTATAAGTTTAAAATAATCAAATAAAAAAACATATTAACGAAGCTTCAAGTCAATGAGACCATAACTTCATGGTAAACAACCTTTATCAAAAACTTTAATGGGATACGGGATTGAATAGCGAACGGACGAACACATAAACCAGGAAACAGTATGTCCCCTACAGGCGGGGCATATACATGGATGTACTTGAATAATTTATAACCATTTGCATCTTATTATAATATATTTCATATGTAGAAGGGCTTTTATTAGACAGAACGTCCACAAAATGTCATTTAATGTTGATATCGATAGAAATGAATCACAGGACAAGCACCATTTGATCGGACCTTCTGAAATTAAACTACTGAACCCTATATTTGATCTTCCCTGTCCTTTCTGTTTCTGAATAACGATTGACTGTCCATAATTTTTTCTAACCTACACTGTAAGTTGGCAGAAGTGTATTGAAGGGTTTTAAATTCTGGTGAAAAATGGAGGTTTTTTTATTTCTAAATCTCTTTTTTGTCTACTAATTCCATTTTTTTTAGTTTCTTTTGTCAATTTGATGTTTGTCTCATCTGTACGATTTGAAAATACCATCAGTCCAGTCAATAGGCGTGGACATTGATTTGGTCGGAGCAGAATCAAAAATGAAACTTTTGTTACAATTTATTTTTAAAAAATCGGAAGATATCGGTGCAATTTAAATTTATAGGATTACAAAAAAGAAACAAACTTAATATATTTTGTCAGGTAGCATTTTGAATGAATGTCGGTCCATTAAAGTTGTAAAATAATCACCTTTTTCTGTATTTGCCACTCCACTATAAAATAAACTACTATATGTAATTAGATAATTGAATATTGTTTTTATCGGTATAAATATTGATTTTGTTATCAATAAATTAAAACTCAACTAAATATAATTGCTATACACCTACGAACATCCATGGTCGTACATTCTGTCGACGCTGGATGCCCACAAACATGTTTAAACCCGCTACATTCTGTAAGTGCCTATCCTAAATCAGTTGTTGTCGTTTTTTGCTGTTTATCATATTTCTTTTTCGTTTATTGTTTTGTACATAAATCAGACCGTTAGTACCCTTGTTCGAATGGTTTTACATTTGTCATTTCAGGGCCTTTTATAGCTTGCTATGCGGTATGGAATTTGCTCATTGTTGAAGGTCATATGGTGACCTATAGTTTCTAGCTTCTAAGTCATTTGCTTTTAAATGGAGAGTTATATCATTAACAATCATACAACATCTTGTATATTATTTTTATATATACATGAACAATGGAATAAGGGAGATAAGGTGATATCATTACATGCAACATTCAATACAATAAACTTGCAACAGGCACATCATCATCTTTGAAAAATTTGTGATGGTGACCATAAAATTTGTGAGGTATCGACTTCAGTCTTTCTTCCTAATAGCCCTGCAGGATGATTATATGTTTAAAGAGGACACAACTGTAAATGGTGTCATTGTGATGTTGAATTTTCTCGTGTACCCTATTTATTGAGATATGTTTCATAGTTTCATAGTTTATTAAAGAAAACTCAGCCGCAGAAGACTGCGTAACAGGAGCATATTATACACAATATTAATTACAACATAGCTCATAATACAAACAGTATACATTGTTGAATTATACATCTTCAGAAATAAGTCTTTGTTTATTACAGTTTTAAATTAGACAAGCATCTTTTCTACCTTTTGAATAAAAATTGACAGCTTAGACAGCACATTACTATTACAATATTTAAGCATGCCCAGTACTTTTTTTACGTTTGGATATTTTAAATAATATGGAGGTATGAACTTCCCCCTTAAATCCTTAACTTCACAATTGGTACATTTACATATATAGTGGTATACATCCCCAAGACCAGCTTTACAAAGTGGACAAATTCCCTCATTTTGCGGTGCATTTCTCCATCTTCCCGTTTCGATGGGAATCTTTGTATTACATACCCTTAATTTACATATATTTACTCTATGACCCTGCCTTACTTTTAACAGATATGGTTCTAAGCAAAAAACTTTTTTAAAGTGTAAATACCCCCCCCCCCCCTACCCTTTGATGAGTTGTTTATATCAGAGAACCATTTTTGAATAAACTGGTCTTGGAGACGCTGCCTTACATTACTTTTAATATAATTATAATCAACTTGCCCCGGAATATTATACAGTTCACAAAAGCCACAATCATTAAACACAGATTTTACATAGTTAAACCACTTGAAATTATAACCTTCATGCTCATGCATGTACCAAAGTAACTTATACAGTTTACCCGATAGTTTTTTATCATTTGTTGCTAGCTTGTGCCAAAAACATACCATTTTTAACTTGATCTGCAGTTCAAGTGGAAATCTTCCAAGTTCCCCATACACCATAAAATTTGGCGTAGATGATCGCACCCAAAACTGCGCTTACAAAACTGTAGATGTAATTTTTCAGTATTATTTTTATTTTCAAACCCCATATTTCCGAGGAATAGGTCAAAATAGGAACCACAAATGCATCAAATAATTTTAACTGTAAATCAATCGGAAGTGGGATATTTTGTATCTTCTTGTAAAGAGCATAAAGTGCTTTTTGAGCTTGGTCTATCAATTTTTTCCGAGCTTGAAAGAAATTTCCGTTGTACTTAAACAGCAGACCAAGATAAACGTATAAATCTTTAATTTCAAAAATTTCATTACATAGTTTAAAAGTAACATTCTTGTTTAACTTTCTCTTTGAAAAAATCACAATCTTTGTTTTTGATACATTAACAGTGAGTTTCCACTCAAAACAATATTGCTCAAACACATCCAGAGCCTTTTGTAACCCTTCTGCCGACTCCCCAAAAATAATTGTGTCATCGGCGTACAGAAGAATAAATAACTTGATATACAAATCAAGATTCTCTGTAATTTTTTCATTCATAAATTTTAAACCATCCACAGAGTTTTCATCCAGATATTCCTCCAAGTCATTTAGGTATGAGGCAAAGAGAAAGGGTAACATTTTTTCCTCCCTGTCTTACACCTACCTCACACGGGCAAAAAATCTGTCTTTAGTTCTCCATTTTTAACACAAGACTTAATATCTGTATACATGCTCAATATAACTTTAAACATTTTTCCACCATGTAATGTTATATTTTAATAGTTTTTGCCATAGTCCCACCCTCCACACTGTGTCAAAAGCTTTTCTAAAATCTACAAAAGCGCAAAATAATTTCTTTCCCGAACTCAAATATAGTGAAATTAAAGCATGCATGACAAACATACTATCTTGGACAGAATACCCCTTTCGAAAACCACCCTGGGCATCAGTTATAATCCCGATCACGTCTGACAGAGCATTAAGTCTTGAATTAAGTATAGAGGTGAACACTTTTCCTAAATTCGATGTAAGACAAATAGCTCGGTAATTATCCAAATTATTTGGATCCCCCTTGTTTTTAAATAACGGCTTAATGATACCAATAAGCCATGAATTTGGAATGATTCGAGAATCAAACACTAAATTGAATAACTTAGTGTAAATGGGCAAAAACTGATTCACCGTGCTTTTTATATATTCGTTGACAATCTCATCTTCCCCTGGTGCTTTACCATTACATAATTTTTTAACAGCTGACAGTATTTCGTCCTCTGTAATTTCCTGATCTATACACCCTGACTTTTTATGCTATTAGCTAATTCCTCATAATCAATATCATCATCTGGAACATCGCTTTTATTTAATGACTTAAAATACTCATATTATTGATCAATAGTAATTTGGATATCTTTATCTGACCCCCCTCTATCAAATCTTTTCCAAAATTTACCAGAATCTTTTTTCGAAAGTTTACGCATGTCAGATTCTAGTGCATGTTGAAAACTATCAAAACTTTCATTCATTTCGGTTCTGTAAGCTTTCCCGGACTTTTTCATCTCATCTCGGTTCTCTTTATTTTTTAATTAAACTGTAACGGTTTTTCGCTTTATGGAAAACCTTTCGCTTATCCCTGCATTTTTTATTAAACCAAAGTTGGTTAGAAGATCCAGATGGATATAATCTTCCCTTGGGTTTAAATACACGATAAGTGGTGCTTTTATAAATATCACCTATTTTGTCAACGACTGTATTGATTTGTTCTTTTGGATCATTACTGTCCTCCGACAAAAGCAGTGATATCTCGTCTAATTTTGTAAATTTATTTAATTTATGTAGACAAGACCATACAATGAGGCAGGGGGTATCTTACTACTGGAAATAGGTAGTTGAAAATTAGAAAATTAGAATAGTCACTTTGTCATATATTCTTTTTTTGAAGACGTCCATCTGTGTCAATTTCAATGAAAGATCCAAATATGCGGTAGACCTTTTATTTTTCGGTAGTATCCATCCTCAATATCAAGTTCACTGGGATATACACATTTGTGTTGCAAGCACTGGCTGATATGTGGATTAAAGAACATGACAAATTGCCTTTTCTTTAATGTCATTT